CCAGGAAGATGAGGAGATGCATGTGAGGCAGACCACGTTTCTGATATTCAATGGTGTACACCAATCCTGCAACCTTTCCATAGTAGCCTTTGCGAACCTTCTTCAAGAGGGCCTGTTGCTTTTGATAGAACACTCGAGCCACCAAGTCTGGACGGTCCACAGCACTTTGGCCTGTATAAGTGATTGTCAGCAATGAAGTTATAAATAATGCGTTGAATATGAATTCTTACCTGGCAGGAGATTCTCGGTGATCTCAGGCCAACTCCCATTTGCAGTCATCGTTAGGAAGAGATCAGGCTTTTTGCAGGCACGGCAAATGGCCAAAGAGTCTTGAAGTAGCTGATGCATGTACCGAGGGCTCCCAGCATGAGAGGAGGGAAGAATGATGGAGTGACCTGTCTGAGCCAAATCATCCACACCATCATTGAGCACATTGTCTGTCAAGCCCCGGTAACAGTCTGCCCGGAGCCGCTTTTGGTTGTTCCGAATCCAGTTCAAGTTACCCTGCTCAATGGACGCCCATGCATCAACCACATACTGCTGGAAAAGTCTTCCACCACGAAAGATGTTGTTGTGGTCCATGCGAATGGGGCGAGGATGAAGGCGATAGGCATAATACAGCAGCTGGGTGACTTTTTTTGAGCGCGTGGCACGTTCACCCTCTCTAACATTGAGAGGGATATCAATATGCCAGCCCTCCTCGCCAGAAGGAAAGAGAAGGACATAGTGAAGAGTTGAATATGCATGGCTAAGCTGGTTCATGCGCTGAAGTTGACCTCCTTGAAGTCGCAAGACGATATCGCGTTTGTCAGACACCTCCTCAGATCCATCGCCAGGAATGATCACAGCAATTTCATCAGCAGTGGGAAGATTATATCTTCGACCATCTGAGCCCTCCTGGAAGTGAATGCGTACACGAACATCTGTGTGCTGCTCTGGAGGCTTCTCTCGCATGACTTGATAGGCCTGTTTATAAAGAGGAGCATAGGGATGGCTTCGATACAGCATGTCATGGAGTGCTCTGAGAATGCGACGATCAAGACCTTCATTTCCAGGTCGGTTGGCACGGATGTCGGTGGCTTCATCAGGATCATAGATATAAAGCTGTGCATATGATGGCTGACGACCTTCTGGAGGCATAAGACTGCCCATGAGGTGATGGAGGGATCCATGGATACGAAAAGCATTTGGGCCAGAGCCTTGAAGAGCATTGTCCTCGATATTGACGCCCACCGATGTAAATGCAAGAGAGCTGTTGTACTGACGAATCTTGGAGACAAATGTTCGGTCTGTATACGCCTGCTGCAGCTCGGGTGGCCATGCTGGAAAGGGTGGAAGGCTGACTTTGCCCTGCAAGCAGCACATGCCAAAGTGTGGATTTCGTAAAGAGGAGTCAGGAGAGTCTTTCACATGCAAAGTGCCTTGCATGGCAGTTGGGACACTCTACATCAAGGGGACCAAGAGTATGACGGGCAATAGGCTCTGCATATGGTCGACCTCCACCATGGATAGGAAGATTCTGAGCAGGTGCCTGGTTGGCATGCTCCTCATCTTCTGCCTCAGATCGTTGGCGATCTTCCTGCTGCCGATTTCTCCTTCTTTCCTCATCATCATCATGCTGTTCTTGAGATGCTGGATCATTATATTCATGTAGTGCTGCTTCTAGATGCTCTTCTGCCTGTTGACGTGCTCGCAGAAGATCCTGCTGACGATCTCTTCGGAGCTGCTGCTGGCGAAAAAATTCCAGATTGCCAAGATATACTTGCTGAGCTCTCTGCTGTTGCAAGTGAAAGGCCTCTTGATCTTCCTGGGCTTGTCTACGAATACGCTCAGCTTCTTGCTGCCGTAATAATTGCTCTTGAATCTGTTCCCGATGCAATGCCTCCTGTGCTTGTCTATGAAGCAATTCATTTCTAATCCTCTCGTTTTCTATTTCCTCTGCCTGTAAATGGTGTTGAAACTGAATATTGAATGGTTGATAATCTGGTTGAGGCAGTGCGGGTAATGGTGGTGCAGGGTTAGGAGCGAAGTAGTGGAGAGGATTTTCAAAGTTGTGAGGACCAACTGCACCCTCATAATGAATAGGGCCGTACATGGGAGGGGCAGGAGGAATTACAGGTTCATTAGGGATGTGAGGTTGCTGTGGCGGCTGCATCCCAGCTGCCATGAGCTCTGCCTGTGCCTGCTGTCTTATCTCATCTCTTTCCTGTTGCCGACGAAGATTACGTTGACGGCGTCTATCATTATGAGCTGCATTCATTTGCTCATTCAAGCGTGCATTATAATCAACCCGAGGAAGACGATGAGCATGAGCATGCTCCACATGTGCAATCGCATTTCGTGGCAAGCCGGGATACTGCCCAACTGGTAGAGGTTGATATGGAAAGTCAGGGGGAGGTTGCCATGCAAAAGGTTGTGGAACAGGCCCTGCTTGTGGCAAATTAGCTGGCATGAAATTTGGCTGTGGTACAGGAGGTAGAGGCCTGTCCTGAACAGCATGCCGACGATTGCGTCTACTGGGAGATGTCATTTGAAGTCGATTAAGTCTATCATGTTCGCGTTGGGAGTGTCGATCACGTTCTGGTGTTGTCTGTTGCAAATTTCTAAATGGTGCAAAGTGACATGCAGACATTAGCATCATGCACCTTATATGCATAGTCAGTGACTCACGGGACAGGTAGATTCTGATCCATGTTCACTATTTTTTATTTAAACAGTTGTTTGGCAAGTTCAAAATGAGTTGCCTGAACTCATTAATCAAGTCAGAATTGTTGCATGTTTCTATCATTGTTGTTGAATAAAAATGAAACCCACAAAAGGTGTATTACACTTTATTACACTTGGCTGCAGGGGAAGGCAATTTCACTCGAGAATGCAATTCAAAAGCAGCAGCCGAGTTGTGTAATCAATTGTGTAACCAAGGTTCTATTATTGCTTTTGCTAATCTCGATGCCAATTCCCCCATGGTAGGAAAGCTGTGTTGTTTGTCCGTGTTGTGCGCGGAGCGCAGTAGGCGTGGAGATTACTGTCCACTATATCGCGTTTGGAAGGAATTTTGAACTCTGTAGAATTTAGCCTCTCGAAATCTCAATCTCACTTTTTTGAAGTTTTTTTCTCAACTCAACCGTTATTAGCAAGCTCAAGCGAGAAAACCACGCAAAATTTCTAAATCGAGGTTAAGCGAGCTAAGCACAAACCATGTGGCCTTTAGCGAGCTACGCGTCTCCCACACACAGCCACAAAACAGGTCTCCCATTCTTTTATGATTACCCAATTGGGAAACCACGTGAGTTCTCTGTTTTCTTTTCGGATCGCCCCAAAGCAGTAGTGGCTGAGTACTACCGCCCAAAACATTACTCGATTAGGTAGTCTCATAATATCAATGTTTCCCAGCCTCCCCAAGCCTCCCCCTGCTCCCTCCTGTGTAGTAGGCTCATATAAATCATGTATATTAGCCATTATATACCTAATAGAACACACTTGACCGCTTTTATTTGCTACCAGCTACCATTAGGCAATCAGTTCTATTAAAACAATATAATTCGCATTTTTAATGATTTTATGTATCATCATACACTGTACATGGGCCTATATACTTATATTTATGCTATACACACTCTAGATGACATTTTAACACAGTCTTGTAGCTCCAGGAGGCTGATAGTTTGATTTCATAGGGATAGGGGACATATGAGAAGATCAGTGTTCTGGAGGGTTAATCAAACATATATTCGAGATCTGAGAGTTAGAACACATGCAATGCACATATAGGCAACCAGTTATACACTCCTGAGCAATCAGACACTAAGCTAAGAGTTGTGGAAGGAATGTAGAGGTGGGACATGCATGGGAAAGTATACAAAACATATGAAAAAGACATAAAAACATATCATAGCGTGCTACACAATGCCCCCCATGATCTAAAATATGTGTAGTATGATAGGGGGATATCAGAAATACTATTTTCAATGTTCTTGAAGTGTTACAGGTTGATTCTACAAGTATATATGTTGATTTGAGCTTTCTTGTCATAGTGCACACTATTGTAAGGATTCAATATCCTTTATGCCCCGACCGCGCTTCAAAATGAAGACGATTGAATCGCCACGCGTTCGAACTCGTCCATGTGACACACTGATGCGAAGAGCGTCACTCTTCGCATCCGAGTCACGCAGATACATTCCTTTACATCTCCTTTTCACTTTCTTTCGTTATCTCACCTTGTGCTCATGCTCCACGATCTCCTTGCTTCACCGAAGTATTTTCACCTCTCCATATGCTTCGTATTCTCATTCAGGTCTAGCCAAGTACTCGAAAACGTATATAAACCGCCCATGTACACTCATACCTATAGCAGAATCCTAGACGCTGATTCCCTGCTCCAAGCTCGATCGAAAAACATCATAGAAAGTCCTCGACATATACGTTTACTCTACTCGTCTCGTTCGCCGTTGTGCTCATCACTTATCTACTTCGTCTTGTTACATTTCCCCTTCGAACTCACAACTAGCCTTACACCATTCCCTACAGAAGCCTATATCAAATCTCGAGTTTTTAGTATCTAGGCATACAAGTGACCTTGTGTCACAATTGAAACATCGAAAATAGTATTTCTGATATCCCCCTATCATACTACACATATTTTAGATCATGGGGGGCATTGTGTAGCATGCTATGATATGTTTTTATGTCTTTTTCATATGTTTTGTATACTTTCCCATGCATGTCCCACCTCTACATTCCTTCCACAACTCTTAGCTTAGTGTCTGATTGCTCAGGAGTGTATAACTGGTTGCCTATATGTGCATTGCATGTGTTCTAACTCTCAGATCTCGAATATATGTTTGATTAACCCTCCAGAACACTGATCTTCTCATATATCCCCTATCCCTATGAAATCAAACCATCGACCTTCTGGAGCTATGAGACTGTGTTAAAATGTCATCTATAGTGTTTATAGCATATATATGAGTATATAGTCCCATGTACAGTGCATGATGATGCATAAAATCATTAAAAATGTGAATCATATTGTTTTAATAGAACTGATTGCCTAATGGTAGCTGATAGCAAATAAAAGCGGTCAAGTATGTTATATGAGGTATATAATGGCTAATATACATTATATATATGAGCCTACTACACAGGAGGGAGCAGGGGGAGGCTTGGGGAGGCTGGGAAACATTGATATTATGAGACTACTGTAATGGGGCGTTCCAGTGGGACATGCAGTAGATCAGATCAAGAAGGAGCAGGAGAAGCGGGGAGAGCAGAGTCAAGAGCAAGCGAGAGGTGGCAGAAGCCCAGAGGTGCCAGGGGTCACGACAGCAGACATACGTATAATATACAGTGTAGCAACAACGCAGAGAACCAGGTAACAACAACAGGTCTTTCTCCTCTTTGAGACCGCAGTGCTGGCCGGTCCATCTGGTGATGAGAGTGGGGCAGCGACCCAGAACCCAAACATAGGCACAACAAGCTCAGGACAAATCAACGTGAACAACTGCACAAGACTTCGGGGACTCACTCATACGGGAGAAACTTGGAGCAGAAACTCAATTCCATCTCCTACTCAGCTCACCTTCTTCCCAATATTTTCAGAGAACCAGCCACCGGTTACCCCTCATCATCACATCGTCTCACTCCTGCCTTACTTAGAACGGCAAAGGTCGCCATCAGACTCAGAAGGAACCAGAAGCCCCACATACACATTCTACCCAGACCAACCTTCTCCAAGTCGAAACAAGGGACCAATCAAACAACTCACCTTTGCGCTGCGAGCAGCCCACTTCATGCCCAAACGAGACGAAAGCACACCATCTTCTCCTACCACAGCATCATCACTTACCACCACCAGACCAACCCCTACACCATACACCACCAACGTAGCACTACCAGTCATGTCTAGCCGTGAACAACCATGGGCAGTCACACTCTTCCGAGGAGATTATGGAGACAGAGAAGAACCAACGGAATGGTTCGTGCAGTTTGAATTGTCACTGCCAGAATCCTGGACAGATACGCAGAAAATAGACCACTTTATAATGCAGCTAGTGCCGGGACAGATGGCAGAAGAGTGGTATCAGAGCCTCAAATCCTTGCAAACCAACACATTCACAATTCTCAAGAGCACATTTAGGAAACGCTGGCCGCCCCCGAAGCAACCCAAATATTCTCACGCACAGCAGAAAGAATGAGTCATGGCAGAAGTACTAGATGAGAATGATATTGGGCTATGGACGGCAGGGAACTACAGGCATGTAGTTTGGGCAACCAAGGTATCACGCCTAGCACTGGGCATGGGAGACATGGAAGGTATCCCAAACCTGCTGAAAGACCACCTTAAGGGCAACTACGCTGATTGGGACGAGTTTGTGGAAGACATGCAGAGCATATCGAGTGTCAAACTCAAGAGAGGCTGAGAGGACTTGAATAAGGAATGGGCGCGGGATGAGGACATCGTGAGACTGAAAGCACAACCATCATTAGCTTCCCTACAGTACAAACTATCGCAAATGTCCACAAATAGTCAACACCCCAGCCCACCAGCATATCCAACCGCATCACACATACCAGCATTTTCCACTCAATCAACAACCCAACCGAGCATCATAGGTGGCATGTATCCCACTCCAAACTCAACTGCGCCAACACCGGCACCAAGCAGCCTAGTCATGCCCACAGGGCTGACATGAGGAGGATTTGGGATGAGAGGAACAACCTTCATGCACATGCAGCTTACAAGAGCGCAGATCATGGAGAAGTTAGCCATAATGCCCCAATGAGGCAATACTGAAACAGGGGTACACCAGTATGAAGCGGATGTCGAATTATGGCATCGCAACCATGGTACGGAAGGATTCCCGACACTTGACAGGCCATATCCACTGTGTCCAGGCACTGCGCTCATCAGTTCAGGGGAATGCTACAACTGTGGCGTGGTCACGGACCCACCACACGTTAGCGCGCAATGTATCGCCCAGGAACACTTAAAACCGCATGAGGCCCGTTGGTGACAGCAGGTCGCGGGCCTACTTAGATGCACAGCCTCACCAATGAACCGACCCATATACTCCGCAGCCCCAGTTCAATATGTAGCCCCTACATCACACCCGTACTATGGCTCGTACGGAACAATGTTGGCAGCCCCGGTTTATGCAGTAGCACCGCAAGAGGAACATAGCGGTTAGGATGGGCAAGACACCTGGGTCATGCAGGAGCCAGGTTACGACTGGGTGTCGGAAAATTATGTGGGACTACTGCCGCTGACAGACCAACAGTAGTTCCCATAGCCCCCAGTCTGTTGGTTGACGTACCTTCTACTCAACCATCTAACCTCCCTCCTCGTTTCGGACCACAACTCATGCTACGAGCACAAGATACTACACACAATAACACTAGCTTTGTCCACATGCCCATCTCACCTTCCCTTACCCATGAAACTGACATACAATCAGCTTCTGCAACCCCTCCAGCAGAAGACATAGAACTGTTGTCTCTTAACTCACCCTTGCTTACCGCCCCAGTTGTACCCTCTTCTATATCGAGTAATCCCATTATCGACGTTTATTTGGTGGATACATCTGGCAAACCCACACGATCACGAACGAGTAACCCATTCTTAACAGTGCCACATTTGCACAGACCACAAGGCAAGAAAGCACGGTTTCTTGCCATTGTCGACAATGGGGCGATGATAAATGCTATAGACACAGCAGCTTACCAGCGAATTGCACGGCGCTTATCACCACTAAGTCCATCCACCAGAACCCTCCGCATGGCTGACGGATCTCTAGTCCCATCCACTGGTGTTTGGACAGGAACGTGCTTGTGGGGACCAATACAAATTCACACGAACTTTGAGGTATTCCCTAGTGGTGGGTCGTGGTGTATGCTTATTGGCAAGCTGCTATTAGAACAAGTGCATGCAGTGCACAATTACAGTACTGATGCTATCCTTTTGCCCTATGGAACATCCCACCATCTTATAACTAATCTCTCTACTTATCGTCCACTTCCAACCCCGTGTTTACCTACCGCCGTTCAATTTCCATCATCCTCAACATTTAAATTAGCCCCAAACATAGTACCTAATGAACCAAAGCCTCAAGTACATAATACCCCGCTGCTCCTAGAACCCTGTACTATAGAACCATCAACAGAACCCAAACCAGAGGCAACCACACCAGAGATCCTTTATGTGGACGTCCCAGAAGATAATAAGGCAATACTAGGTGAAGTACTGGACCTGTCACACCCAGCACTACCTGACGACATCTTCACCAAGTTGACATCGCGCGGACCGTTCTATCCACTGAGAGTAAATGCCATCATCAGTGCAGTTAGGTATGGTCCACACCTCAACAAGGAGCAACTACAGAAATTGCGTGAATTGGTAGCAGAATTTGCTGACATGTTTGCACTGTCCATCCGAGAGGTAAAACCGGTAGACTTCATCAAATTCCACCTGCAGATACCTCAAAACGCAACCTTCTAAAAGAAGGTACACCAATGACCTTTAATGAAACCTCAGCGTGAATACCTATTCCCAGTCCTAGACGATATGAGATGCACAGGTATTACACGCTTCATTTCGTCGGATGAAGTGAAAGTGGTAGCTTCGACAGTCTTAGTACAAAAAGCTCACTCAGGGACAAGTCTGTCATTAGAGGACATCCGCCAAATTGTGGATCAACAGTGTATCGCGCTCGGTGAGCCCCCAAGTCATAATGATGGTATGAGCTCAGCACCCGTTGTCAGTCCAGAACCGGTAGATCCAACCAAGGTCAAATGGAGGATATGTCAAAATTTTAACGACGTTAATAAAGTATCGGATGTTGCAGCTACTCCTCAGGGGGACATCGCAGCAAAGCAGCAACGCCTAGCAGGACATAAGTTTATTTGCATACTGGACTTTGCAGCAGGCTTTTACACGATTCCTGTGGAAGAAGAAAGCCAACCATTTCTGTGCTTCTACACAGAAGGACGAGGTTATGAAGCTTACCGACACATGCCTATGGGAATACACGGTGCACCATCATGTTTCAATGACCTTGCAGTGCAAGCGCTGCATGACATAATGATGGAACTGCTCCTCGAGCTGTATGTGGATGATGGGGCCATGGCAGGCAATAGTTTCGAAGAATTATTGAAGCGCTTGCGCCTCTTTCTAGTATGGTGCCGAGAATGAGGCCTATCCATCTCACCAACCAAGACACAATGTTCATGGAAGAAGTTGTCTTCGGTGGATCGCGAGTTGGAAGGGAGGGTATACGCCCAGACATAGCAAAGATCGTGGCAGTAGCAGATTGGCCTGTACCAGCAAATCTGTTAGAACTGATGTGCTTTTTGGGTCTCACAGGATACTTTAGAGCCCTCATCAAGGACTATGCACGCCTAGTACTACTGCTGACAGACCTACTGTGGAACTTGGATCTCCCACCCCCTAGCGCGAAAGGAGGGAAACGCAAGTATAAACAATACTTACGTGAATGCAGTTTAGACACGTATTGGGAGCAGAAGCACACACAGACATTTCTCAAACTCAAACAGATCCTAGTGTCAGAACCGATCCTACGTGCACCTAAATTTGAAGGAACACCCTTCATTATTATCAGTGATGGCTGCAAGGATGGGTTTGGAGCTGTACTGGCACAACGGTTCACATCACAACGACCATCGGGCGATACCATCAATAGCATCCACCCGATCAGATTCGTGTCTAAACGCACGACACCGGTGGAAGAACGTTACCAGCCGTACCTACTGGAGTTCACAGCACTGAAATTTGCATTTGACCACTTTGGGTCCACAGTATGGGGCTTCCCAGTGGAAGTAGAAACAGATTGTACCACACTGCGAGATACGCTCCTCAGTGACAAACTCTCACTCATACACGCATGTTGGAGGGAAGGGATACTGGCATACCAAATAACCGCAGTGTGTCACCGTCCAGGAGCCACTAATACAGCAGCAGATGCCTTGAGTCGCCGCATGTCAGGACGCCCGTGAACGGATGGAGATGGGAGCGCATGGTCTGTCAGCGAAGATTGGGAAACAGCGCACAGCCTGGTAAACGACCTCCTCCTCATACAACCTACTGACACAATAATTTCAGAATTACAAGAGCGCTTCAAGCAAGAGCCCCTATTCCTGGAAGTCATTGAAGCATTGAACAACCTCGATGGCAGTAAGCCTGAACGCAAGCGCCACAGAGTGCGACATCGTGCCCTAGGATATATGATCGAAGAAGGGCATCTGTGGCGTATAGTGGACAGCAAATCCACACGAGCATGAGCGCAGTGTGGGGAACATCCCCACTGTAGGCCTGTATCCCGTATAATTCCCATGCCTTCCCACCATTTTCCCGTGCGTTCCGCTACCATCCCACTACCCATCCACATCTTCCCCGAGCCATCCGCTACATGGAACCAAGCGGAACCAAGTGGAACCCAGCGGAACAATCACGTACCACACACATCATATTCCTTTAGCCTTCGGAACATCCTCCTCCGTCCTGTCCATGTCCTTCCATCCTCACTGGTGAGTACTAGATACGTTGTGGGTACAACAAGTGCAGCGGAGAGAAGTCAATCTACTACACAGTTGGGTCTTTGCTGCCTGCTGCCTCACTTGGGAACAAGTGCGTTCGACCCTTAAGGGGATTGCTACTGGGGAAACACTAGTCTCTGTCTAAAGCGACCCTATAGGATGAAGGATCCGCAAAAGCGGATGAAACAGATAGGATGCGAAATGTACAGATTCGTCGGATGGAGCGGATGGCACTTGCGGATCGGACGGGATGCAAATCAAAGTCAAAGGGAGTTCATTAAAGGTTAGATGGATAGTGGGTATAGGTCAAAGCGATCTTCTGGTAGTGTGCAGGAAAAGTGGGAGGAAGTTACATGAAGTAAGTATTTTTCGAAAACCTCCATGCTTATAGGGTACAGTATTTTCAAGGAACATAGAGATATAGGTAGCGAGTCTAGACCATGCCATAAGCTATCCGAAAAATACTTGAGTGTGAGAGGATATGTCTGTGTTCAGTCAGTAACAAGAAAATGTGTGTGAGTACGTACCAATGAGGTAGAATGGACGTGGACAGGACGGATGGAGCGGATGCACGAGCTATAGGAGGAGATCCGAAGGTATCTGCATGTCATCCGAAAAGCGGATGAGTATTGGATGGAATGGATAGGATGCGGATGGACATTGGATGGACGGAAAAACAGTGGATACGAGCCTAGCGTAGGGATACTCCCTACAACGTTCCCCGTGTTACTAACATGTTCCTATCTCTTTTCCCATATGTTACAGTACTTATACAGATCCTTCCACTATTCGGGATTGATTCCTTATCTCACAGCCTCACCCGGTTGTAGCATAGCGCATTTCAGAACCCCTTCCTATATAGGTAGCAATAGATGGGATCTTAGTTTTTTACCTTCTGATAGACTCAACTCCACTTCCACTTACAGAGTACTTCCCAGTACTCCACTCACTGTCTAAAATATCTTCCTGAATCTATTCCTGATCTCATTGCAATGTTCCCGCCCCCGTGAGTTCCGCTCGAAACACCCGACATCAGATCCAACAACTTGGAGCAAGTACCAGACACAAGCCTGGTCCGACTTTGCCCAATCATCCTCCTGCAGGCTCGTAGTTTCTTTTCCCTCTGTTTGTTCCCCATTAGTTCTGTTTGTTCCCCGTTTGTTCTGTTTGTTCCGCATTAGTTCCATTAGTTCTGCTTGTTGCACATTAGTTCCGCTCGTTGCGTGCTGAGTTCCGCTTGTCGGGAACCCTCCGCATCTTTGTGTTCCCAGTCCTAGTAAGGACCAGAACCCTTCGGGTTGCTAGACAGAGTCTAGTCTTTGTTTCCTTGCACTTATTTGAGGACTCACTACCCAGTAGCAATCCCCTCGGGACGAGTATAAGCCTCGCACCCTTGTTAGACTTCTGATCCATACAGAGTCTATTTTCCTCACCCACAGCGGTTAGAATGTGTGTCACAAACGGAGGTGATGGAGATGGCACGACAAGTGCACACCACCAATGGACACTGGGGCAGAGATCTTACTAAACTCCAGTTGATGGACCATGTCACCAGCCCTAAACTGGACAAATCCATTGTAAACACACTATTGGAGTGCCTGCAATGCAAAAAATTCGGCTCCACACACCTACATTCGCTCCTGTATCCCATCACCCGATGTCACCCGTTCGAGCTCCTAGTAGCCGATTATCTAGCCCTTCCCAAAGGCAAAAACAGCTACCATAACATCCTGCTAATTCTCGACATGTACTCACAGTATGTTTGGGGTTTCAAGCTGAAGGTCCACGGCACAGCGAAGACAACAGTAGACGGACTCAACTCCATAGCGCACACCTTTCGCGCCCCCAACACGTTCATGACAGATGGCAGGTCGCATTTCGACAACAGAAATGTACGCGTGTGGTGTACAGTGCACGAGTCCAAGCATCACATAGTTGCCACATACACACCTTGGATCAACGGGTTAGTAGAAAACACCAATGGGAAGCTTCTAGGGCGCTTGAAGCGGTTATGTAGTCCTGGGTTAGGAGAAGATGAGTACGAGAACGTAGAAGCGGAAAGCTTAGCCAAGTCATGGCCAGACCACTTCAACAACGCCATATGACAACTGAACGAACGCATCATTCCTGCCTTCAAGTTCTCTCCCAAAGAACTCTTATTAGGTCTCGTCATCAACACCAACCCTACCCCAATTACGGACGCGTCAACAGAGCTAAGCACTGCAGAAGTCGACGTCCATATGGTGTACGTTGACCAGCAATGCCTAGACGGCGCAGATCATACAGCTGTACATTCCGCACAACGCAAAGCTGCGTTCTATCACAAAGTTCTCCGCTCACATACAGGTGAAGTTATGTTTGAGGCTGGACAACTTGTACAAGTCTATGCTAACGCACTAGATTTTACAATGGCATCAACACGCAAGTAACAGCCACAATGGTCAGCTCCGCAGCGAGTTGTTGATCGAATCGGCAATTTGTATATGCTAGCCACCCTTGAAGGGTTCCCACTTAATGGGTTATTCCATGCTAGACGCCTGTGAAGATTCATCCCATGCGACAGTATGGCACTCGCAGAACTACAGGCAGTACTGGGAAATATGAATGAAGACGACGAAGCAGAAGTCAACATGGAATGGGAAGACAATCAGCAGGAACTCGAAAGGGAGCTGGAAGACTCAGACGACTATGAAGAGAACGATGGATAGAGCCTTGTACACCCCCGGAGGGTCGCATTCCTGGGGGGGGCATATGTAATGGGGCGTTCTGGCGGGACATGCAGTAGATCAGATCAAGAAGGAGCAGGAGAAGCGGGGAGAGCAGAGTCAAGAGCAAGCGAGAGGTGGCAGAAGCCCAGAGGTGCCAGGGGTCACGACAGCAGACATACGTATAATATACAGTGTAGCAATGACACAGAGAACCAGGCAACAACAACAGGTCTTTCTCCTCTTCGAGACCACAGTGCTGGCTGGTCCACTACCTAATTGAGTCATGTTTTGGGCGGCAGTACTCAGCCACTACCGCTTTGGGGCGATCCGAAAAGAAAACAGAGAACTCACGTGGTTTCCCAATTGGGTAATCCTTGTAAAACATGGATGGTTCAGTCCTGGTCACACATGGTTCTTTCAGTCCTTGTATCCTGACCAAAGTTGGTCCCCATAAGTCCGTGAAAACATCAATTTTTTTGAGTGTGCATGGTGCCACCTATGTTTCCCACATTTAATAGTGGGACTCAAAGTAAAGTTCTAAACTCACTAAAGTGTTCGGTAAAAAATTGGCTAAGTGTTTTCAATGATGGAGTTGGCCGGCATTAGGTATCGGAGCTTGAATATCGATGCCTGTTCTTTGCCAACGTGTCTGCCATTCTGCAAGACTACAACATCAGTAAATTCGCACATTCCTTAACATCCTTTTTTGCTACTTGTCCTGAAAATTTTCAAAGTGCCGCTGCTTATTTGTGCTTATGCACTTGTCAAATTTTTGTACAAGCACCCACAGCGCCAAAAAGCAAAATAAGCGGTAAAAAGGAGGCAAGCCAAAGTAACTGTGTACAAGCAAATTAAGTGATGGAATTTTTACAACTAACAAGTGCCTATCCTACAACTACTGAGTCTGATGACAATGCCACAGGAGGTGTGACTGTCTCCTCACTGTTTATGACAACCACGGAGTTCCGCCAAACTCCACCGACACTAAGTCCTCCGGAACTCCCCGGACTTCCATCGGACTTCCCCTCTGTCCCCTGGAAATTAAAGGGCACGTACTCGGGTAAGGGGCGCAGCGCACGAGCTGAAGCTGAAGCCCTTTGAGTAACCTCTCCCTTGAGCACGACCTTAACAGCCAAGCACAACTTACTATTACTCTGATCAATGAGCCTTGCAGATATGGTATGTGACCCTGCACTTCATATATGTGGATGGATGCTGACGCGGTCGACAGCATTTGGTCTGGTTTGGAGATGATCAGCGACAAATAGTAGAGACTGGGATCTACTACACACGAGGAAGGCCCAACAAGGCGAGACGTGCGGAAACCGAGGTGCAAGGAGTTGCTGGAAGTGTGCAGTTTGGTTTTTGGAAGAGGTTGAGGGTGTTTTTTGGTTGCTTGGATGAAGAAACACTGGAGAGCATTCATGACATAGTGTGAAGTTGCCTGTGGACCGGTAGAGTAAAGGTGAGTTAATATGTTTGCGGTCAATGAACAGCTAATCCACCTACATTTGTGAGAAGGAACTTGCAGCTGGCATAACCCAGGATGGGTGTCGAATGTTCCCACGACTGTCTCAAAGCCAGCCTCCAAGGTGATTTTTTTTTGCCCCACCTTCCATCCATCCATGGTTCACTAGCTCCACTTTCTCTAAGGTCCTTGCAGGGGGAACTACTATCAGCAGCAATGTTCCACCTCCACCCATACCTATCAGTATTCCCAATGATGAAGGCTTGAAAGTGTCTGACGAGGACGATGAGCTGCTCACAAAGCCTCTTTCTCGTTTGACAAGCGAAAAGGCTTTAATGGTGAGTCTGATAATGTCTATATTTATGTTCAATGTTGGTCTACAGGGACGAGATTTGACACATGGTTGTAGCTGATGGGGCTGTTGTTGCCCTGGTATGTTTTTTTTTTCAACACAATTTAATTTTAATCATTTTCTTTTTATTAGACTCTTCAGCGGTTGTTGGAATGGTGCAATACCCTCAGCAATGTGGCCCTTGCCGTACTCGCAAACTTTATGACTTCGCAGGATGATCTCAAGACTGATCAGGACCGTAAAGATTTTGCATTGGCCTTGCTCGAAAAGCTCAGCTTCTTGTTTGGGAACATTACAGAGGATGGACAGATGTCCAACCCATTCCAGTCTGATCTCATTATTCAGGTCCTCGTTCAGCACAAGTGCGCCACGTCTGGTGCTGTCAGCCTGCTGGGAACGAGTCATACAGTGTCAGGGCATTCGAAGGGCACCCTTGCTCTTGCCACAGCCACGGCATGTGTTTTATACTCTCTCCTCATATTGCTAACTCATGTTCATGTGTTTCAGATGGAACGTGCCATCAGGCTTTTCGCCAATGAACATATACTCCTTAGCGACATCGATGCCACTGGCAATGGTCGAGGCAACAAGACCCCCCTTGATATCAATCTGTCCGCAGGCAAGCAGAGTAGTGTCCCCCTGGCATTTTCAGATGTCAATTGGGGTGCGCACACCAGGTCCTACACGACATCTATCAATCGCCTTCCAGACTTGGTCATTCTCCGAAACTCAGAGCTCGCACAGGCCCTAGCAGTGAAGAGGCATGGTACTCGGATGGATGTCAACGAAGAATCTGAGGATGAGCGAGCACTCATTTGTTAGATGGTATTATCTTTTGTTTTTGTAGTTTATCTTGCAACTGACTATGAACTTTACCGGCAGACTATACCACTGTTCATGTTTCCTTGTTGTTCACATGCCGTCTCGTCACTGCCCCTGCTATTACTGTCATCATACCGCATCTGCTTTCAATTATGTCTCGTTTTTAGCTCATTATGACCGTCTTTAATCTACTTGCCAGTACATGCTTCGCAACTGACTATGAACATTCATATTTCCTCATTGTTCACATGCCGTCTCGTCACCCCCCCCCCTGCTACTACTGTCATCATACCGCACCTGCCAGTGCTTTCAATCACGTCTTGTTTTCAGGTCCTTATGACTGCTTTTAATCTACTTAACCAGTACTTCTTTCTTACTTGCTCTCCTTTTTTTTTACTTTTTCATTCTACATGCTCCTTAACTGCCTTAAATGCAGTCATTTTTCCTTCTAACAAGCGTGAATAAGCTGAAAATAAGCGGTTTGTTGTTCTAACAAGTGTGGATTAAGTGCAAGAAAGCTAAAAATAAGGGGGAATTACCAACTGCAATGGAGTTCATTCTCAAACAAGTGTGAAAAAAGGTGTGAAACAAGTGCGAAAAGTGCGAAAAGGCCAAAAACAAGAGGAGGGGATCTGCTTTTTAACTTGTGGGAGCTTGTGACAAGGAGACGTTCTGGTTCTTGTACAAAGCTTTTCGCTCTTGTGTGAGAAAATAAGTGACAAAAAAGGAGATTAAGGAATGTGTGAATTTACTGATGAAGCAAACACTCAAGGTTGTCTAAAGGTGATGGAACTCCCCTCACATCCATCTGCATCCCGTGGAAGAGGGAAGGCTCGAGGATGTGGGTCCAATCCCCCTCATAACCAGGCCCCTAAGACCACTGCACCTAGGATAATTGTCCATTGGACCAGACCATCAGATCTCCGTGGCACAGACACACTAGTGCAGCATCTTGTCACTCACCCTTTGGATGCCCACATAATATTCTACAAGGGTAAAAAATCTGCAACTTCCAGCAACGAGGAGTGTCCTTCTGGAAAGGACAAGGGGGAAATCTATCAAGTCTTGGTGAAACTTATCTTCACAAACAACTCAGAATATTCAGGCGCATATGCTGAGCACTCAAAGAAATTCGACATTGTGGTGGGCAACCACATCATTTCATGAGTGATCTCTATCACTCATTAACTGCTAATTTAATTTGTAATAAAAGTCTCAAGAAGTCATTCAAGGAGCAGCTTGACAATTTTAACAAGACTGGTGCTGGTGTCACTCTGCTTGATGAAAATGCAGCTGTTAATCTACACAGTAAGTTTTTTGCCATTTTTTTATCATTATTTGATTTATTTGATTTTAAGAACAAGAATTGCTTGAGTTCCCATGGTATGACCAACTCTACCCCTTCCTGTTCTCTAATCCAACATGTAGCGCCAAAATCTTCACCTCCTAACCGGGAGTTGATCATGCTGGGGATTTCTACACGCTCATTTGTCCATGTGGGGGGATGGTCCCTCTACTGACCAAAACACTCCTGATGCTCGGCTCACTCCCCAAGACCCTCAGCTTGCTCCCCCAGACCCTCGGCTTGCTACCCCAGACCCTCAGCTTGCTCCCCCTCTCCCTCAGCTCACTCCCCCTCTCCCTCTCCCTCAGCTCATTCCCCCTCTCCCTCAGCTCGCTCTCCAAAGCCCACATGCTGCCAGTGCTCAGCCCGACCCTGCAAGCACTTTGTACCCCCCCCCCTCCTCATTACACCAGCGCTGGGGGCAGTCCGATCGCCAATCTGGACGGTGACCTTGGTGCTGACCCTCACGCCACAGTCAATAACAATGATGGGCCTTTCTTTGCCCCCCTTGGCAACGCGCTACTTATGTTAGATGGGGACTTTAACATGTACAACAACAACAACAACAACAGGCTGGAGTTTAACTCCTCCTGGTGTTGTGTTGTCAACCTCAACAGCCCCCCCAAAGTAGTGGGACATAAGCGGCAGTATGCAGCTTCTCTGTCCCCCCCCTCCCATTGACACAAACACCTTTGTTATGCTGCAGAAGCCACAGATGCCCGCATACCACAGCTGTGCAGCATTTGGTTCTGCCTCACCTGGCGGCCAAGCACCATGCAGACCCTCCTCATTCGCTTCATCATCGGGGATATTGCACAGCCACTCCACTCCCTCATCCACAGTGTCTTCATTGCCCTATTTGTTGTCTGACTATCACATTTTGCTGATGGAACCCCAGACATTATTCGAACCAACCCACGTTCATTTCAGCATTAGCATTTGGCTGCAGTTTTAGTCTCAGTTTTAGTCTCAGTCTTTGTCCTCAACCAGCCAACCAGCCAATCAGAGAACATGGAACCCTCGACTCAGAAATACCAACAACCCTATCACAAGCAAGAACAGCTTAATTACGTCGCATTATGCTGAAAAGGCCAAGCTAGATGGCAGGTGTTCTCAAAACACCTGTGTACATTAAAAAGGGGCTGTATTTCATCCCAACTATTTACGTGGATTTCCATTGGAAACTGAGGCCTAGCAGCCTAAGACCCAGAGCACCAACAGGATTTGTGATAACCAACATCTGCTCAAAAACCAACTGGTCAAATTGGTCAACAGAAACATCCACCACTTCCTCCCCACTCAACACACCAGAATTGTCTTCACATAACACACCACATCATTTGGATAGCTCACCCCTCAGCAATCTCAAAGATGAAGACCAGAATAACATCCCATTCCCTGAGTTAGACATCCCAGAATTGGACTTCCAGCTACCTCCACTCGATTTCCAACCACTACCATGCTATGTAAAAATCAAGCCACTCAAGCCTATACCTACAGCACCAGACTACGACTTAGCCATGTTCTTTGCAATTGCACAAACTAAGAGCAACATGCCTGCAGAGACACCACAGATCTTCCATGGCAATGGCCGTTGTGGGTGAGGAAAATTCACTCTGGGGTGATTCAGATGTCTAACAAGGGTGCAAGACTAATACTCGTCCCGAGGGGATTGCTACTGGGTAGCGGGTCCTCAAATAAGTGTGAGGAAAGCAAAGACTAGACTCTGTCTAGCGACCCGAAGGGTTCTGGTCCTTACTAGGACTGGGAACACAAAGATGCGGAGGGTTCCTGATGAGTGGAACTTAGCGCGTGACAAGCAGAACTAATGCACGATGAGCGGAACTACGCAGAACTAACGGAACTAACACAGAACAAATGGAACAAACGGGGAACAAACAGAACAAACAGGGAACAAACAGGGAACTAATGGAGGGAAAAGAAACTATGAGCCTGCAGGAGGATGATTGGGCAAAGTCGGACCAGGCTTGTGTCTGGTACTTGCTCCAAGTTGTTGGATCCGATGTCGGGTGTTTCGAGCGGAACTCACGGGGGCGGGAACATTGCAATGAGATCAGGAATAGATTCAGGAAGATGTTTTAGACAGTGAGTGGAGTACTGGGAAGTACTCTGTAAGTGGAAGTGGAGTCGAGTCTATCAGAAGGTAAAAAACTAAGATCCCATCTATTGCTACCTATATAGGAAGGGGTTCCGAAATGCGCTATGCTACAACCGGGTGAGGCTGTGAGATAAGGAGCCAGTCCCGAGTAGCGGAAGGATCCGTATAAGTACCGTAACACATATGAAATGAGATAGGAACATGTTAGTAACATGGGGAACTTAGCTAGTACTCACCAGCGAGGATGGGAGGACAAGGACAGGACAGAGGAGGATGTTCCGAAGGCTAAAGGAATATGATGTGTGTGGTATGTGATTGTTCCGCTGGGTTCCGCTTGGTTCCGTGTAGTGGACAGCTCGGGGAAGATGCGGATGGGTAGCAGGATGGTAGTGGAATGCATGGGAAAATGGTGGTAAGGCATGGGAATTATACGGGATATGGGCCTACAGTGGGGACGTTCCCTACACCATGCATCAGAGAACCCAGAGGAGCTCAATGCCCTCAGGATAGACCTAGCTCACATCCGACAATAAGCACCAGTACCCAACCCAGTAGATGCACTCCAAAACCAACTCACCAGAATGTCAATCAATACGCCAAACCCTCCAACAGCACCCCCAGGCAGCAGTGGATACATGAGAACACCCACAACCCAGAACCACCAGAATGCACAACCTACATACAACCACCAGCCAACTCCACAACAACCCATCGCAGTAACAGATGAAATGAGAACAAATTTTAGGCTCCTCATCACGTCCTTCCCCCACCACCAAGATACCACAGCAGGCCACGCAGCACACGCAGCCCAAATCATACAATGGAATGCGAAGTGGGGGGAGAACTCATGGGTCACGCATGAAATGGGCTACCCACTCAAACCAGGGACAGTGATGATATGCTCAGGAGAATGCTTCTCATGTGGAACACATAGACACAACAGCCATAACTGCGTACTTCCTCTGGGAGATACAGCACGTCTAGAAAGGAAAGAAGCTGCTTGGAGAGCAGTTTCGAGCAGGGTCTTGGGCACCTTTAATCGCTTCACAGCCACGCCAATCTCACTTGTATATGCATATGGAGACAAGCAGTTCGGAGAAGGAGAACAGAGCAAGGGGAAAGGGGATGGGTCGGTGTAGATAAGGGCACCACACCGACCCCACAAACAGCAGAGACCCATACTGGGACAGATGTCCTCGCATGCACGGAGGCACCATGTGAGGACCAGATGATTCAGACAAGCCCCCAGGTCCCACTCGCACCTTTAGTTACACCTGACGCACATGTATCCCTGACAACAAACAAGACCGACATTGTTGACTTGTACACAGCAGGACACGCATCACTCAATAAGGCACAAATAGGAACTGGCGAAGCAGTCCCGTTCATTCACCAAGTCAAACTAAAAGGACCAAATGGAGAACTGGTCAGGATCCAAGCACTCTTTGATGATGGTGCCATGGTACCCGCAATGTGCTCATCAATCTTCAACAAAGTCAAGCACCGGCTACAGAACTTCAGCCCATCAACGAAACGCCTGCGAATGGCAAACGGAACCATAGTCACCTCAGAAGCTCAATGGTCAGGAGTCATCGAACTCAATGGAGTACACACCAAAGGACAGTTCAAAGTCTTCAACAGTGGAGGTGGCTGGGCCTTCCTGTTCGGGAAGCCAATGCTACAAGCCTTCAGGGCCATACACAACTACTCAAACGATGCGATCAAGATAGCAAACGACTTGCAGTCGACAACGCTAACGAATCAAGTCGCACACCCACATGCAATGCACGGGATAAGCTTAACAATGGATATCAAACAACGAGCAATCTTAGCGGGGGGTAAGAATACACCCCCCTTGAGGCAAGTCGCCCCAGACTAATGTACACCATTGAGAAGCGAAACTAATGAAAATTTTTTGATGCACCAACTGATGGGTCAATGGAGACACACGCCTATGAGTGCAGAGGCAGATAACCCACAGGAAGAAGTATTCCGTGAATTGCCAGAGTTACCGACAAACGAAGACCGATCCATCTACACCAGACACATGTGGCCAGAAAACCCTGCACAAGTCGCAAAAATTTTGTCATTGATCACCTTTGGTGAGGACCTCTCACAAGAACAACACATGCAACTAGAAGACTTCGTATGGAAACGAGCAAAAAACTTCGTGTTATCCTTGAAAGAAATCACTCCAATCCTGGGAGCATATCTCAACCTCAACGTCCCCAAGAACACAACCTTCAACCTGCACACCCACCAATGACCACTTACCCCAGAACAGTTGAAATTTCTCAGTGCCAGAATAGATGAGATGCTAGAAGCCAACATGATCGAACGAGCCCCACTGGAACTCGTCAAGTGCGCAGCTACAACGGTCATTGCACAGAAAATTCATGAGGCAATGGGCCTATCATGTGACGAAATCAAATGCCAAGTCAACATGGAATGCACAGCCGAAGGACGAGAACCGGCCTTCAACCTCCCAGAGCAAGAAGTAGACCCTCCAGAACCAGAACCCAAGCAAAATGCTCCAAAAAAATGGTGACTCACACAAAACTTTGCACAGCTTAACAAAGTAACGGAGATAGCGCTGATGCCACAAGGGGACATACTGGCCAAACAACAAGAGAAGTGGAGACCATACCTAGCCTTCTATGTCGAAGGCCGGGGGTACTTCTGGTATAAGCGAATGCCAATGGGCATAACAGGAGCGTCGACCACATTTTGTGAAACCACAGCAAGGCATCTCCATGATCTCCTCCTCAGCTCGCTAATGGAATTATTCATGGACGATGGAGGATGTTCAGCAGATATGTTCGAGGAAATGATGACCAAACTCAACACCATCTTTGATTGCTTCGAACAATGTCACTTCTCCATAGCCCCCACGAAAACCAGCCTTTGCGTAACAGAGACAGAATTTGCAGGAAGTACAGTTGGACTGAACGGAGTACAACCAGATCTTTCAAAACTCATGGCCATCGTCGACTGGCAATGCCCGAAGGACACACTGAACCTTGTTTTGTTTCTAGGTCTAATGGGCCACTACCGCTCCCTCATCAAAGCATATGCGAAGCTAGAAAACCCACTTCACAACCTCATCGCCAAAGTCCAGCTCACAGCCCCATATAACAAAACATCATATCAAAAAGCCATGAGCAATTTCCAACTCAAACCTTACTGGAAACAAGAACACACTGACGCGTTTTTAGACCTCAAAATCACAATAACTTTGAGACTGGTTGTCCAAGGCCCCCAGTACGACGGGTCACCCTTTATAATCACTATGGATGGATGCCTAGAAGGGTTCACAGCCGTCCTATCACAGAAAATCTGAACCCAAACACCAACCGGGAAATGGGTAGAGAAGCTACATCCCATTAGATTCACCTCCAAATGCACGTCACTAGCCGAACAATGCTACAATTCATACCTATTAGAGTTCACGGCGCTCAAATTTGGTCTGGACAAGTTCTCGAACATCGTTTGGGGACAACCCATCAAAATAGAGACGGACTGCAATGCCCTCAAGGACATGCTACTCAAGGACACCCTAAATGTAGCCCATGCGCGATGGCACAAAGGTATCCTCTCATACAACATCACTGATGTATGACATGTCCCGGGGAAACTGAACATCATCGCAGATGGGTTGAGTCACAAGTGGGAAGGACAACCACGAGTTGAAGGAGATGGTAGCAAGTGGACAGTTAGCAAAGACTGGGAGGCATGAACAGGACTAACCAACAACATCCTAAATGTGTTAAGCACAGATCCAGAGATCAAAACACTGCAACTCCATTTCACTGACGAACCACTGTTTCTAGAAGTCATTAACGCAATACTGAACATCCAGAACAACTCCTCACTACAAGACTGCAAATGGGCCCACCATAGAGCACAATCGACAGAGGCAAGTTATGGAGAGTAAAGGGAGGCTCAACCACCTGCACAAGAGCCAGGGTTGAATGTGTACCCAGAACGGAGGCCATAGAGCTGGTCAGAAAGGAACACATAAACGGCGGCCATTGGGGAAGAGACACGATCAAGATTGCACTATTAGACCAAATATGAAGCCCGAAACTCAATGCGTCAATCTTAACTGTGGTGAGAGATTGCCCAAAATGTAAAAACTTCGGAACAGCACACATTCACTCCCTCCTAGAGCCAATCACTAGGAGACACCCATTCGAGCTCCTCATAGGCAATTACCTCACACTCCCTAAAGGGAAGGGAGGATATAGCAACCTCAGTGTATATCTCAACACCTTCTCACAACACGTCTGGATCTTCAAGTACAAATCAGTGGGAAGTGCAAAGACTACCATCGACAACCTATCGCGCATATTCGGCAGCTTCACACCACCGGAGACATTTATGTCAGATGGAGGCAAGCACTTCAACAACAACAATGTGAAAACATTTTGTACATTGCGGAACAGCAAACTGCACGTCGTCGCAGCATATTCGCCCTGGATTAATGGACTCGTAGAGGGGACCAACAAACTGCTGCTGCACATTCTAAAGTGCAGATGTGCACCAAACCTAGGTGAAGACGAGCTGCAGAATGCGTCATGGGACAAACTCCCGCAGTCATGGCCAGAACACCTTGATGAAGCAGTAAACACCCTCAACAACTGTCTACTACCAGCATTGAAGTTCTCCCCCAAAGAATTGTTACTCGGCCTCATCGTAAACACCCCCCCCCCCCCCCCCCCCCACTCCACTTGAAGAGAGTTCGTCAATGCTCCATCCAACGGATGCCCTATCACACATCACATACGTAGAACAACAATGACTTGACAGATACAACAAGATCGTATGTCATGCCATCAAACATAAAGCCATGTTCGATAAAAAACTTCTACAATGAGCCCCAGGAGAAGTCATTTTCAAGTGCGGACAACTCATACAGGTATACCGAAGCAACCTCGACTACACCTTCAAAACAGACTGCAAGATCCTTCCCAAGTGGTCAGTCCCAAGACGAGTTCGAAACAGAACTCTCAACTCGTATACCCTCGAAACACTGGAGGGCGGGCTTCTCCAAGGCAAATACAGCGCAAGAAGACTAAGGGTGTTCACCCCCCAAACAGGCACCAAGTTGGAACAGGATCAATTGAAGTATGAGGAGAGACTGACGAAGAACAGTAGTGGCGAAGAAACAGAAGATGAAGTGATGGGTCACAGATGGAGATGAAGATCAAGAAGAGGTGGAGGACGAACTAGAAGAGGAGGAAGAGGAGTCAGACAGAGAGGGAGATCAGGTGGCATCGAGGGTGGCGCCGGTTTTTTTTTTTTAGGGGGGTGCATGGAGTAGGGGTCCTAAGGGCGCAGCATAGGAGAGGAGAAGCCCAGTGGCTCATTCCAAGGCTTAAGTCAGCAGAGTAGCATAGGTTGTAGGTCTTGTCAGTAGCACAGAAGCAAGCACACCGAGCGAGGCATCTCTCTAGTCCTTAGCTCAAGTCCAACCACCCTGTCCAGTGTTGTGATGAAACATGAGAAGCTCTCGCTTCTTCCTCTAGATCATAGAAGCTGCGGCTTCTCCCAAACCCTATGCCCTACCCTTCCTTTTACCACTGTATCGGTTCCACCTTTGATGAGGATTCCCCATGCCCTTTACCCTTACCATTCAACTGGTACTACTTACCCCTTTCTAGTATGTGACTCATACATACCCTTGACCCTTACTGATGCTTCGGTACTATCTCTGCTTACCCTGTGCCCTTACCGTTCAACCAGTACAGATACTCACATATATATATCACTTGTCTTGTAGATAGATTCTCTGACTTGAATCTACTCGGTTCTCATCTAGTACTTGTCTTTGGGTCTGAACTTCTCTTGAGACGATACTCTTGAGTTGAAATCTGTTCTCTTGGATCATATCCTTGAGACTCTCCAATCAACTCTACACAAGTAAGGGCTTCAACCCTTACTCAGACTTAGCGCAGGCAAGCTCCTTGCTGGGCCAGTGTCGAAGGCCACACTTCAAACACCCCTTGCTGGGTTTAGCATTGCCGGATCCCATCCAAGAGTTTTCATGTAACACTATCCACCACTTCTCAAGTGGGTATGCACTGTCAGCCTAAACCCAGTGGTCGTCTGGGAGAAGAGCTTCATGCTGTCAATAGAGACAAGTTGATTGGAAAGCATAGGCATTGTGGACACTTCCAGGATGACCAAGAGCATAATCAACAATGAGAAGGTTGTAAGGCATAACAATTGCCTAAAAAATAATTTAATCATTGACTATGAAGGAGGGGGAAAAAATACCTGACAGCCAAGAGAATAGTTAGATTTCCTATCATAAAATGTCTCACCAAAATGAGCAGGTTTAGCATAAAGGTCAACTGTTGTGCCATCAACAGCTAGAATGCCATTGCACCACTCAGGACAAGTCTTGGACTCTGCATATTGCCAAGCAAGCTCAGCATCCTCTGAATTGGGATGTGGGAAACCAACAAATTTGCCATGCTGGTCAAGCAGTGCAATCATTACACAATTAGTGCAATCACTACACAATTAGTGCAATCATTACACAATTAGTGCAATTCACAACTGACCCAACACTGATACCTGCCCATTGGGCAACATCTTCAAGAGAAATTGCATTGCCATAGTGGCCAGCACGATTGAGGAAGATAGCAAGCTGGATGGAGACAGGAAGCTGGGGATTGTTGGATTGGTTGCCAAAGATATGATGATCAGATATCTGATCAAGGATATCATCAAAAATGATAGGGTCGACACGTAGTTTTCTGCTGAAATAAATGAGGGCGGTGTTTCTCATGATGAATGAGGATGTGCAGCTGGGGGGCTCGTGGGGGAGGCTCATCAAGCTTGTGAAGCACATGAGCCCTTGCAACCTCATCACAGAGAGCTGCAATTTGATCCCAAAGCTGATCATAATGTGAAGTGATATCATCAGAATCATCAGATTCATCAGATCCATCAGAAAATTCAACAGAGGTGTCAGAGGAAAGAGTTGGTGAAGAGGTGATGTCCATGCTTGAATCAGAGTTGGAATCAGAGTTGGAATCAGAGCTTGACTCCTGAGCTTCCAATGCAGCTTTATCAACTGCATGAAGGAGATCTTTGCAGCTGGATTTGCGATGCATGATGAGAGCTCAAGATTAAGGGATGTGTCCCCTTATCACCCCCTGACTGATGTGCAACTGATAATCTGAGTTTCAATTTTGACCACACTCATCATAGATGACAGTGAAACTTCACTGAAATATCTGAGCTACCTATCAGCAA